GATCTGATGCTGGGATCACAGGTCGTCCAACATCAGAGCCGGAACCTGCTTCAGCCCACGCCTGACGCAGCCAATCATCTAGCCTCTCAGGGGGTGGAGCGAAGGCATCGGCCATGGAGCGAAGAAAAGAAGGCGAACCGGGAGGCTCCGGCGCCAACTGAACAGTCACTCGCACAAAGCAACTTTTACATCTATGCGCTCAAGTGGGCCCGACTTTGGGCCAAGAATCCAGCAGGAGATCCATCGCTCAAGCCCTTGATGCCCAAGCACAGAGGAAACCCTTACGCAACTTTCACAGCAGGACCTGTTCAAGAACCCCCGGTGTTGCTTACATGGAGTCATGCGACACTGCTGCAGGCAGCCCTGCCTGGTCCACTCGAAGGGGCGCGCCAAGTTGTTCTTGCTGCGCAAAGCTTACATAGTCAATCAGAGACCAGAAGCCTTGCCAGAGGAGGGAAAGAAAGTTAGTGACAGAGATAGCACAGCTCAACTCCATAATTCACGATTTGAACCTACACCTTCGCCTCTCCTCATGGCAGCATAACCCCGAACTTCAACTGTGCCAATATCTTGCTGAGCACAATGCATGCAGTCCAAGCAGCGTTCCAATTTAGCACCTGCACTCCAGAAGCAGCTCCTGATTCAGACTGGCAAGAGCAAAAGATGCACGGACTCTGAGGTTCTCCTGTTCTCTTCCCCAGAGCGGAAACCAGCAGCTGCTGCAGCGGCTGCAGCGGTAGCGGCCAGCCACAGGCAAAACAGGTGCAGCGACGAAAGCCACATTTTCGCTTCCAGCAGTTTCCATCATCGTTGTGCCCATGAGTCTGAAGGAGCAACTTGCTCCACGCATGACATACTAGATTTAAAGCCAACGAAAGCAGGTTTGAACAAGTTGCGCTTTTCTGCTCCAATCAGTGCTTAAAGTTGTGCTTTCATAGGGTTAGTGAAGGCCAAGACTGCTTCGCTGATTCTTTCCTACCCCATTGCTGCCAAGAGCGCTACAGGGAGCAACGAGGACAGATGCCCTTGCTTCTCGGAAGCAAATCCACAACAAAAAGCGTTTGTCTGAAGAAGAGGCTCCGACGAGTCCGGCGCCATCACGGACACCTCAACTGCTGCAGCAGGTGGCCAGTCGACCTTTGCCCTTGCAGTCTCGGGAAAAGTTTTTTTGACACGGCAGAATTTGCCGCAGGTGACACAATTGCCCCCTTTTTTCCGAGTTCCGAGCCGAACAACCACATGTGGCAAGCACCAGCAGAGACAGCACGTCGTGTGTGATATGCTTGTGGTAGTTGGGTGCTGAGGCTTTCACATGCCTGATGAAAAAACTAGCTTTTGCAAGTTTGAGGGAGTCGCACTTGAAATGAATGTGGCTTGTGGAGCCAGGCATCGTATCTCAAAGCTGGTTTCTGGCTTCAAGCCACATCCATGCAACCAAGCTGCACAGCACCCTATTAAGACTTGAGATTCAAAGATCAAACAAAGATCAGTTGACCACAGAGTGGAAAACCTGACTTTTTCTTGCAGTCCAGTGCCCCTGCCTCCTGCATCTTGCAACCACAACCCTAGTCATGACATGGCACCTGTACATGAAGGTACGGTAAAGTCTGAAATGGTATCCGCTGTTGCTCGCAGATGCAAAGGAGCGGAGGCTGCGGGAAAAACCGTGACAGGTACGAGAACTTGACCGGCAGACCCTGCGGCACTGGTGGAATCTGATAGCATTTGGCAGAAGAACCGCCATTCCTTTGGAGCAAAACGAAAAAGTAACTTCCACCGCAAGCCGCAAGACTAAAGGAGACTGTCTGCCCGCTGCTTTGGCGGAGTCCTTATCCTGTGGTGTGAAACCAAGGCATTTACCGGTAGATGTCAGGGCTATCGCTGGCTTCTCTGACAATAAGAGGCTGCTGTCAAGCTTAGAACACCTTGACGGGAATTCTCACAATCTGAGTGGCATGTAGCTCTGAAATCACATGGGTTTCATAAGCCTTAGCTATCCGTAGCTTGGATCACTAAGCTTGCCAGCCGCATGTTTTGGCCACAAAGCATTCCCAGATCAGGCAATTTTGCCATCAGGGAAGCCTGCGACTCACTAGTGCTAGGCGGCTAAGGATACACTGTGGCGTTTTGCGCGCGCTCGCCGTGGTAGTGCCTGGATAGCATGTTCAGCACACGTTGCACACTCTATTTGAATTACCAGCTGAGCGCTTGACGCCTTCCCACAGCTAACTTCTGCATGCTCTCCCTGAAATGAAACCAAGAAAGCCAAACACAAAGCGTCTCAACATGGTATGAATTATGTGAAATAGATGTACTGCAGTATTCTACAGTTTTCCTGAGCACCAGGCCAAGCGGCGTGAGGGTGAGCTGTTGCGGCTGCCGCTGCCATGTACAATGGTGCCTGCGAGGGCTGTGGATGCAGGATCTTGCCCGCTTGCCAGAACTCTGCCCAGCGGATGGCAGAGAAGACGTTGCAAGCAAAGCAACCATCGCAGAGGCTGTGGTCCTCCGGGGACCACGGCCACAGGAGGTGCCACAATCGGTGCTGTTACCACAGGGCTGGCCTCACATGGTCTACGTTCTTACATGCAAAAGTGCACTTCAGCTTCGCCAGCCAAGCAACCACGCAGTAGGTCTGCGTTGTAGTCACCGGCTGCGCAACTGCCGGAACAGCGGGATACGTCCGCGTCCTGTCCAAGCAGGCAAGGTTTCGAGCTGATTGCTCCAAAGAGCTCAGCTTCGAAAAATCATCTCGCAGCAGTCAAGCTGAGGCAACGGCGACATGGTTATCCGTTCGTGGGCGGCCATCCTGTTTTAACACATGTTTGGCATATTTTGCTTGCCACATCAACATCTGCCATCCAGCGGCGGGAGAACTCGAGCGGGTGGAACTGGCGAGGTCTGTCTGACCTGTCCGCATTTGCGATTGTCACAGTAGTGTCCTGCACCCACGCTCCCCAGCGACCTGGGCTTGAGGGTACATGTTGTAGACCATCACTGGGGAGCCCGTCCCTGACTGCAGTGACCTTGGCGGCGTGGAAGCCACTGCGAAAAGGAAGACAAGGCCAGGTGAAGACTTCGAGATGCAAGGGAAGCTCAGGGATGCAGCACTCTCACGAGCGCTGCCTCGAGGCAGTGTCTTATGGATCCGAAGTGAAATTTAGCCGGGCAATGCCCAACACCTTGGCAACCCCAATTCCAGGTGTCCGTGCCGCACGGAAGGGCTGCTGACCACCCACGGAAGACTGGGACTGGACCGAGCGCGGTTTGGCCTAGCGCAGTCAGAGAGCCTGTCTGCAAGAAATTGATGGCACGAGGCGCAAAGGCTTTTCTGTGCCCCATCCAGTCTGCTACACACACCATGGCATTGAACTTGAATCTGGTCTTGGAGAGTTTCGAAGGCTGACTGCAATAAGAACCCCCTTCACCCTTGGCCTGAAACGGATCTCCGTGCCGTCCACCTGACTAACGTGCCAGGAAATGATTGCACATTGCAATCATGGACGTTCCAAAAGCCACAAGATAGAGCGGAGCCCAGAGCATGCTGCATACTTGCAGGATGTTAAGTCTATGCTGTCACACCAGAGAAGCACAAGGAAGTGAACCCGGGATCCCTCGTCCCTAGTCAGGGCGTGCATCGTGGGCGTGCTGGCGCTAGAGCGTGCATGGCGTGCTTGATCGCCCAAGAACCACATTCTCCAATGTCAATCCTCAATGTGGACACTGTTGGGTTTCACCCACGAAGCACGTGCCTCGCCGACTTCCTCGACATCGCTTTCACCCTCCTGCATATAGACAGCACCCGTGTCTTCAAACCAGAAGAATTTGGATTTCAAATTATTGCAATGGTGCAGCTAGACACCTAAATCGATCTGAATTCCACTGCCGTGGCATTCGAGTCTTGATCTGGCTTTCCGTCAACTAAATCTCATCAAGTTCTAGCCGACCCTCATCTTGGAGGAGAGGTCGTGCGTGTGCGTGTCGATGGCTTCCTCATGTCCGCAATACCAATTCAGAAGAGGACGCTATGGGAACCTGTTGGCTGAAGAGTTTTGAGCTGATTTATATCATTGACTAAACAATTTGGAAATAGATGCTTCGCAAATTGGAGGGCTTGAAGGCTTTTGGAGCCTCCAACAAACAGGTTCCCACAGCATCCTCCTGCCCAAAGATTTTGTGTGCCGCCACCCCAATGCTGTAGACGTGACCATGAAAGATTGATGTTAGGACCTGTTAGGATGTTTAGGAACGGCTTCTTGCAACACAATCAAACAGCCAGGAATCTCTTACGATCTCTTACGTCACCGATCTGACCTCACTGCGACGGAGGTTAGCCCTGAGGCATCGGCCCAGACGCGCTGCAGCTCCAAGGCGCGTTCTTCAATTTCCTGCAAGTCGATAGACTCGTTTCAATTCTGAGGCCAGCACTCCGCTTGCGCGGACATGTTTTCAAGGCATCTTTTGCAATAGCCTACGATCAGCTTCCCTTCACAGCTGGACACCTCCACTTTGCCAGAATACGAATCAACACTTTCTTTCCCTGCTCGCATAGCAGATGGTTCCTTGCGCATCAACGTGTCGAAGATGCCCACCTGGCAGAGAAACAAGCCGCGGCAGCTCTGCATCATTCATTCCTTGTTTCAAAGCATGACGATACGATCAATACAAATGCTTGGACTCGCAGAAGTAGTGGAAGTGTTGGTAGATGCCAAGAATTCTTGTTGTCAAGAATGACCTCTCTGCAGAATAGCACGGTCTGAAAGACGTGTCCGTTTACGAAAACAGAAGTTACTTACAGTTCTCATCGCTAAAAATGCCGAGGCTGCCGTTCGCTGCAGCGAGTCCACCTCTGCATTTCAATGTGTGGGGTTGATCCTTCCTACAAGCAGTCAGAACCTCGGCTTTGGATGCAATGACTTCCGAGTACCAAAGTAAAGGGAACTCAGCTTTCGAAGCCGCGGAGTGAAGCATGTCAGGCGACAGTAGCTGCTTTCAACACCTTAAGAACACAAATCCAAAACCAGCAGCCCCAAAAACATCAACCACCAAACCAACAAGGCTTGATTTCGGAAGCAGCGTTCAGCGGATCGATAAAGCTTCAAAGCGAGGTTACAACACAACCTAGCCGGCCAAACTCCCGTGGAAGAAACTTCTGGAGGCGGACGAGGAACACGTTCACCGATCGTCTCGTGGTGGCGGCTGCGCTCACTGGTCTCCTTCTGAAGGAGCTCCTGCTTGTTGCAACCCAGAAGACAGTACGGTCTTGGCCAGAAAAATCCAAAAAAAGTGAAAAGGGTGTGTCCAGCCTCTATCTGCTGCCTGGCCGCCCTTTCTTTGCTGATCAGATCCTTAAAATCGCTAGGAAGACCAGTTTTAGTCTGACATGACGACCACAGAATGCATGCACAGACCAATGCCATCCCAAGCATATCCATGAATAGCTGTCAGGTTGGTATAGGTTGGTCCGAAGCTCGGTGTGGATCTCGTGGTGCTGCCCGCGGGCATCCTTCTCTTGCTTCACCAGAGCCTGGCACTTTTGGGAAAGGCCACAGCAATCATCGCCAATGCAGACGGCCAAGACAATCCAGAGTGGCTTATTTTTCAACTCACTTGTTGGCCCCACAACTGCACCACGCATTAGATCACGTGTAAAATCCTGGCGTCATAAAGTACGAGTCGTACGAGTACTCTCAGTGTGATAGTCTCTCTCGCATGGTGACCATGCAGTTACTCCGAAGGCATCCCTGCGCAGCAAGCATCCTGGCTCCTCGCATCACAGGGCACCTCCACATGATCGGCATGGCGCTCGCGAGCCACCCGCTCGTGGCCAAACTGCTCTTGCACACGCTTCTCGTGGGACTGCCAGCATCGGCTACCAAGCAGAGGTATGGGTCTGGAATCTGGCCGACAAATCATAAGCTGGCTAATCATGCTAGTCTCATCATGCTCACGAAATTCGCAGTCTGAAAAGGCCCATGTCAATGTGGTTCTGAAGCCTCAGAACCAAGCAGTAAACGCAAGACTTGAGAAGTCATGCCTCGAGAGTTTGCTTGTGATTGGCCATGTGGTGAGCCACAGCCTCCTCCAAGGCCTGACCCAGCAGGGCATTCTGCCGAAAGATTCGGCCTTTTCAGATTTCAGTCCGCTACTCAAACTGGATATCAAGACCAGGAAGAGCCTCTCTTGCCCTCTTCTCACTCTCCAGGTGCTCGCTGATGGCTTCGCCCTGCTGCAGCAAAAGGTAGACAAGACTCGACGGCGCACTCCCGAAACACCTTGTGTGGCATGGAAGATAACCTCGGTCCAGCCGTTTGTCAGTACCTTCTACGTAAAGAAGCAAGCCGTGTTGGTGGGCTGCAGAGACTGCTCCTTTGTATGGCGAGGGCCTTCCCTTTCCTTCTCCCCTCTCGGGCCTGCCGTGTGCGCATCGTGCGTTCTGAGTGGATCTGATCGCGAAGGTCCTCAAGCTTCCTTGGATGAAGACATGCTGCGCGCTGCACTTAATAACCCCTAGCAGCCAAGCCACACATCCAGGCGGCTGTGTTCGCTTGAGCCCTGAGCACCACAGTCGTGTTGCGCAACCGGTTCAAGTAGGATTACTGTTTGGGATGACATGTTGACTCCTGCGACATGGGGGACATGCGAACAAAAAGCTGTGAGCTCGACATGCTTCTCCCTCGACTCTCCCAAGTATGTCTCCAGGAAGTTCAAGCGCTCCTGCGAGGCAGCAGGGCTATTATCCTATTGCGCTCTCTCTTGTCCCGATCCTCCAGCGAGTAATGCTTGGCCTGGTTGACGCTGCGCTCCTTTCAAGAGGCATGAAGGGCTTGAAGAAAAGGCTGCTTAAAATTCCCAAATCTAATGAACTGATCCGAGTGTGACCCCTTCACCATCCAAAAGTTCAAAATCGAGTGGTGAACCAGTCCCATCCCAGCACCTGCTGTTCAATGCCCAGACGGCTGTGGAGCGACTCCACCTTGCCTTAGACTGGAGACTGAAACATCGAAGCTGTCGTACACACCTATCAAATGTTCAAAGACGAACTGAAATCAGACAGAACCTCATAGCCCGCTCCGGCTGAAAAGAAGCCGCTACCTTGAAATAGCAGACCTCATTGCACTTGGGTTGCTTCTGGTCGTTGCCAGCTCAGCACTGTGTCGGTCAGCAGAGTCACCAAGCGCCTGAAGTTGTCATTGGATAGCATTAAAGCAGAGGGGCTGAAATGGCACTAGCTCTCCCAGCATTTCCATTTCCATCACACATTTGTCTGAAATTTGCAAACCCACTGCCTGTTCGAGGGACCCTCAACCCCCTGGGCCCTGGGCCTTCTCGAGGAACTTGACACGCTCGGAAAGTCCAGCATGGTGCTCCTCCAGAGCGGCCTGCAGGCTACCAGCTACATCTTCAATCAGCTTGACTCGGACATCTAGCAAATGACCGCACCCCTCTTACAACACATAGCAAAGCCTCAAGATATGGAAAGCGGGACGATGAATCCAAAAAAAAACATGGACCGGCTTACATGTGAAGGATTCCCTTGTCAGTGGTGCAGCTTTCAACTGAGCTTCAAAACCCGCATCTTCACATGCCAAAATCAGGTGAGAGGACAAATCAACATGCACAGTTTACGACATAATTTGTACCAAGAAGACCAATCGCACATTAAGAAGCTTAAGGTTACTGATTGCAGACACCGCGTGGTGGCAGTGCTCTGGCACCCTGCATTGCCTTGCCGTTGGCCATCGTGGTGTGAGCCTTTTTGAGCGAATCGATGTGCTCTCCATGGACCTTAGAAAGTGGGACTGGCTCCTGTGACTTAGGCAAACTCACAGAGCCTCACAGCTGAGCACTGCAAAGAGACTGAGACAGAGGCTTCGCACTTCGATACCCGGGCATGCATGTCATCCAGCTTAGCCCTGGCATCCGCCAACTCCTGTGATGCGATGGATGCATGAGTGCTGTTAGCATGAAGAGCATATGCCCTGGCAATTGCAGAATGAACTGCTCCTGAGCGTGCTTGGTGGCTGAATCGCCCAGCAGCTGTTCAAGGTACACGAGCCGCTCAGACATCCTAAGAGGATCTGCAAATCTTGCAAAGCTGGCATTGTTTCCAAGATGCGTTCAAAATGTGGTTTCTTTTTCATACCGCATCGTCTCTGAAGCTGCAAAACTGACCTGCTAAACCTCGCACATTGCGAAGCACCTTCTTGCATCATTGGTTTTGCAGAAAGCCTCTGCGTCGGAGCTGCTACACCTCTGATCCGGTGGATTTACATGCGTCCCGCCTCATGGCGAAAACGAAAATCGGTCCCAATGATCCATTCATGTCATTCTGACCTACAAACAAAATATTTTGAACCGGGCACGAGGAGTGGGCAGTCTCCTTGGTCTTGGCATCGGTCATCAGCTTTTGGTGGGAAGTTTTGAGTTCAGCCAGTGCCTGACATGGCATGGTAGTCGCGGCTAGATGCTGCTGAAGCAAAGCACATACTGCGCTGTCGTCCTTGCCGTGCTTGTCAGCATTGTCCCCGATGGAAGACTCCAGGAACTCCACGCGCTCCCTGTGGAGACGGCCCCGTCCGCTCAACAAGATTCCAACATGATGGCTTTGCAATGATCCAATGTGCATTAACTCCTTCCCTCAAGTACAAGCTCTGTTCAACGAGAGCCATCAAGGTGCCACAGAAATGTCGAATTGCAGCAAAAGACAGACAGCTCCGGTCCCGCGGAATTTTTGCAGGGACCTCAGTGAGGCGTGGGAGGCTTCCTGCTGAGTCTTCTGACCTTGGCTTCAGCAACTCTCATGATGAATGGCGCTTTGCTCCTAAGACCGTTGATTCGCTACGAGTCCAAGGTTGTGAGTCTGGGCTTGATGAACCCCTACTTGGATTCTGCAAAATCTTGAATCCTAACTCGCTATCCGTTCCTTGGCTTAATATTCAGGTAGTCTGAGGTCTCGAGTGCTTGCTTTGAGCACAGACACTGGGCAGCTTGAGAAGCTCTTTGCAGAAATCTGGCTAGGTGCCCTCCCTCCCCACTTCATGCGTGGGCATGGGGGAGATTGCCGCACGCCCTAATTGCAGTGACACTGCCTAGGGCCGAGATATAACGGCTCTCAATCCCTGATTCGAGACAATACGGACAGGGACAGCATACAGTCATCCAACAGGGCTCCGTGCTTTGCAGGGTGCTGTGGGCCTTCTGCAGCGAGTCCAAGGAGGCGCCGTGGGCCTAGTCAAGCCGTGGAGTTCTGGTCAGCTGTCATGGTAATCAGGAAACGCCCCACCTCGCGGGCAGCACGCTCGTCCGAGACTCGGCTGTGCCTCAGATGGCGCTGCTTTAGTCAGGGCACGGAAGCCTTGATGCCAGACTCTGCTAGACAGCTAGACTTCCAATCTGCTGCACAGCGACGCAGCATCCACCTTTGCACCGGTGGACGCCAGCTCCTGCAAGACCCGACAAGTCTGTAAGTAGGCACATACCCAGTGGTGCCCAGATGCATCAGCCTTCTCCAGATTGTTTACGCGCTCGGAGAGTGTTGCGTGATGTTCCTCTAGCTTCTCCTCAAGCTTGGCCTGCATGCCATGGCATCTCGAGTTTCTACCAACAACGCGCCGGCGAGCCTTGTTTCCGGCCATGGAAGAGTGAGCTTTCTTGAGTGAGTCGATGTGGTCTCCATGGACCTGAAGCTGTTCGTGTTCTTGTGCCTGCATGTAGGAAACCCGCATCTCGTGCTCGTGGTGCAGAGGCCTGCCTCACCCCAGCCAGTTTATCCCCCATAAACCTGAAAGTTGTCACCCGCACCTCACACTTGGACACTCGAGAGTGCATGTCGCCGAGCTTGGCTTTAGCATCTGCCAGCTCCTGGATTGTGACAGATGGCTCCTACTATTCAGTGACGACATCTTTCTTCGGCCTCCGGCTTAAAGAATCTCCTTTCTTTTCGAGCCCTCTGACTTCTTGAATCTTCTTCTGTCCCCCGGCGTCCTGGGCATGCTTGGCTACCGAGTCGCCGAGCGTCTGCTCGATGTAGGCAAGCCGCTCCGTCAGCCTGTCATCCCCTCTGCGAAGGAGCCAGCAAATACGGTAAACTACAAATAGGCTTTCAAGCCAACAAGCACTTGGACTACTTTCGAACACGAGTCAACTGAGATGCAATTAGCACAGAGCACATCTCCAATGTCCTTAGCGGAGAGAGTCTAATCCTTAGGTTATGCAAGTTCCGGAGCTTGAGGTTCATTGAGACCTGTTGACCGATCCAGTAGCATGATGGAAGACAGCCCTGATGATTTGGTTCAGAACGCTGATCAAAAGACTTGAAGAGCCCCGCAAAGGGTTGTTAAGCTGCCAGGCTGGCGATGCGTGACTCGACTCCTGATGGGCTTTGGCGGGGCTTCAGGAGACTTTCAAAAATACTGGCGCAAGCGGTCCGATTGCACATGTGAGTATGGATTTTGGAATCAAACAGTTTAGGGGGTTGGGCTGGTGTCAATATCATTTCATAAACGAACCTCTAGGAGCAGCATCTGTGGAACACCACCAGGCGATTTGTCCCTCAAAATCCCGGAAGTCCTTCGCACTCAGGACCTTGTTGTGTGAGGCTTTGAGCTCGGCTAGAGCCTCGCAGGGTGTTGGGGTGAGTGTTCATGCACAAGCTGTGAGGCAACGACTGGATGTCAGCAGAGGTAGTATCATGCAGAAGACCAGGTACTTGCAGCCGTCAGACAAACTCTGGACAGCAGGCAAGCCTTGCCATGCTTGTCGGCATTCTCACCGAGGGAAGACTCCAAAAACTCCACACGCTCCCTGCCATGTGGGTTTGGGGTTAGGGGTCGTCCATGTACGAGGCTCCAGTGGAACCTCAATGTCAGACTGGAAGGGGTTGATGATGCCCCCACAAGATAAATAGTCGAAGTCAGGGATATCACTTGATTTTCTAGCTTCTGTGAAAGGTTTGCTCAAGAAGGCAAAGGCCCTGAGACATGAGATGGATGATGGGGATTAAAGGAACTTGCAAGTTCAAACCAAGGGTGATAGCAATCTGCGCAGAAACCCGACCCCGCTTTGAAACGAATGTGAATGAAAGTCTTCCTCAGGTCAAACGCGAACACGAAAGGCCACTTTTTTGGTGGTACTTGATCAGGATCCCGATAATTGAAATAGCTATTGTTTTGAGACATAGCCAATGGAGAAGACCAGATCCTTCAAGCAGAACTTTGCTTCAAGCACCAGTTTCACATGTGAGACTATCATAGCATCAGACTAGGATGTTCATCCTCCGAGGATTCCCTAAAACTTGATCAGCTGATCAGCACTTGCAACTTAAGCAGGCCGTTACATGCAGTGCACATGGAAAATCTCAGAGTGCAACCCAGAGAAGTCGCCAAGTGAGAAGCCAAACTGGACGGGCAAACAGCCCTCTCTGGGCGTCTTATTGCACTTCAGCTGAATGCTACTATCACTGTTAAAGTTGGCGTTACAAGCAGAGATTCTAGCCTGCACGCGGACAGCACTGAAAAATGGGCAGCGACACAACCGACTTGTCAAAGCACTTTTGCTTCTGAGCATCGAGGTGCCAGGCGGGTGTATAGAATCCTGGTCGCTGCCCAGACGTGCACATTAACATCTGCAGGTCACACATCTCCGTGGATGGAAAGTTGAGCAGCTTGGAGACGTTCATCAGGTAGAGCACATGCCGCGGGCAGCGCAGTATTGCCTCGGCTACCACTTCCGCCTCTGCTTCATCCTTGACCTTGACGAACGTCTTCTTAAGGACCCACTCGGCAATGGCCAGCTGCAGCCGTGTCTTGTTGATGGAGACAGACACAAAAAATCGCGGTTTCTTCACAGCACCTCGTCCCCATTGCAACTAAGAGAATCCAACACAAGCGCGTCAGCAGCACCTCAGAGATGCATGAGCGACTTCTTGTTGAGCCTTTTGGCCTCGAGCTAACGTCATTGTGTCACGCAGTTCTTTTGCCCTACGAGTACCAGTCGGCAAGACGTCAAGAGCACGCTTCTGGCCAACTGTGCAATATCTAAGAGAAATCTTTCAGAAGGGAAGCCGGGGGCCCAGCTGCTTAGTGCGCTATGCGCCTGGCAGTTTCCGGAACACTTCTAGTAACTTTACTCCAAGGACTTGACAGTGCTGCCAGCATTTGCTGCTTCCTGCAATTGCATGGCCGAGCCTTTTCAAGACTCTCGGCCAGGGCTGAGTGGTTCCTTGCGGGGGCACTGCTTGGTTAAAGATCGCAACAAATTTCTCTGAGACCCAGGGCTTGGCCTCAAGACAGGCTAGGGGTCTTCAAAACGGCAGGAATCACAGAGATGTAGTGGAGCAGCGCTCATGCATTTGTTCCCAGAACATCAAACAATTTGTCTGGGCGCATTCTCTTCATGTATTCTGCCATGGCCTGCTGCTTTTGAACCCTGTAAAGATGTCAACGTTGAAATCTAGAAGAGATTAATGAGCCAGAGAGTTTGCATCGCCAGCAATAACAACGTGTATACCTTCACATAATGCCATTTCTGAAAATAGCCGAGGCCTTTACAAGATTTACTGTGGGTATGGCCCAAACGCTAGGGGAGTGGTGTCGCTATCTTCTCTTCCACTCAGATGTGTGAAGGTCATGCTTGCATATCCTGCATGGCAGGCAGCATGCTTCGCAGAACATGCTTTGATGATCAAAGATGAGTCAGATGCCCACTGAGTGGCAGGCTTCTCCAGTGACTGCTTCTCACCTGAGCAGGCAGAGCTCTTCAAGTTTCAGGGCTGCTGTTATCCCGTTTGCACGTATCTCCCCGACATTGACGGCTTCAAGTCTTGTCAAGATCCGTATGCTCATGCCTAAAGAAAAGCTCCTCAAATCAGGAAATTTTGATTCTTACAACAGAGAGATTTGCACCGAACTGAATTCTGACGTTGGTGCCAGGACGCCTCTATCTCTCAAACCTGTTGCAGACCCTGATGCTAAAGCCTTGGCCCAAAAAGCTGGTTGCAAACAGGATCCGAGACAAATCGCGCAGAACATGCTTTGGCACTGTGCACATTCCTTCCGGCACAGCGTAAGGCTGATAAAGGGACCACTCCAAATCAAATCTCTGCCTGACAGCTGGGAGCCACACCTTGCAGGCTGGTGTGAGCCTTCTTGAGGGAGTCCAGCGAAGCCGCGTGGGCCTTTCGAAGTCTCAAGCAAAGCGACAGCTGCGAATGGCAAAGCAATAAGCGCAGCCGATGGACAGCGTGCGACACAACTATGTCTGGAAAGCCCAACGAACCTCGCTCAAGCACACACCGATGCATCCGATAAGTGTGCACCAGCAGGGGGCCCACATCAAAACTGTTCGTAGAGTATGTGGCTCTTGCTTCTTTATTTCTAAGCTAGCCGATGTCGGAGCCCGCCTCCCGCGCCACGCGCTCCTCAGAGACCTTGCCGTGCCTCAAGGTTGAAAACAGTGCTAACAAGACTGGTCCGTGGAGCTCTCAGGGGCCCAGCGCAGCTTCGACCTTTGCCGCGGTCGCCGCCAACTCCTGCACTGATGACTCTGGCTTGCGTGCATGCCTTGGGGATCGTAGGGGTTGGCAAAACCAGTGCCTTGGCATGCTTCTCGAAGGAATCGCCCATTGCCTGACCAGAGCCCCCAGCAGAAAGTTTGCACCTGCGCAGCCTGCACACCTCTGAATATGTCTGAAAACTCTGAGCCTTCTCCAGGAAGTCCATACGCTGATTCAATGAGGCATGGTGTTCCTGCAGCTTCTCCTCAAGCTTAGCCTGCGCGGATGATTCCGGCTTGCAGCCCGCACCCAAAACGTCCTCAAACCAAGTCCATCGCGGAAAATTGCAGAGAATGCGCGCCTTGCCGCCAGAGATCATGGAGTGTGCCTGCTTGAGCGAGTCAATGTGCTCTCCATGAGCCTGCTCAAGGTTTGAAGTTTGCGGTGGATAGATAAGCTGCCGAATGCAGTGTCAGTATTTGCAGCCTTATGCTAGCAGGCTATAGGTCGTGAACCTCGCACCCGGAGATGCGCGCATGCATTTCATCGAGCTTTGCCCGCGCATCTGAAATCTCCTGCAGCACGATATTTCTCAGGTCTAGAGTAGCGATCTAGTACTTGCGGACATCGGAAGCAAGGGTGGAACGAGAGCTGAAAGCCCTCTGAGCGGCACGTCCTGCGCATGTTTGCCCGCAGAATCCCCCAGCATTTGCTCGACGTAATCCAGCCGCTCGGAAAGCCTCAGTCTTCATCAGTAGTTACAGGAAAGCGGATGGAGCGGATGGTGCGGCACAGAAATCAGCGCATGCTGCAGCTGGCAACTGACTGAGCAAGCAGAAACCACACCAGCACCACTTCGGCGAGGGACGTTGCATGGCTTGACTTGGTGTCGTTGGTCATCTTTGCATGGAGCTCAGCTAGCGCCTGGCCGATCCAGTAAGACGGCATCAAGAAGATCCCCCTTCCCAGTGCAGTCCTTGCCATGCTTGTCAGCATTGTCGCCAACGGATGACTCCAGGAAGTCCACCCGCTCCCTTTCAACACATGGCCCTATGCTGACACTCCCTCCCGCAAGTGCACAGGATGCAGCCTCAAAGACGCATGCGTGACATCCTGCTGCGCTTTCTGGCCTGCTTAAGCAACTTGGAAGCTGATGGCTTCACGCCGGACCACTGCTCATGCTGCGATAACCGGCCAAGGGTTCCACTGGTGAGGGCACTGTGCACCTGCTTTGCAGACGAACACACCATGCACACAGCAGCTCTGGGTGCCGTAGGCAATGCCTGCCTTCTCAACCCGGTCAACCAAGCTGGCATGGTTCCTGGTGAGCTATGCTGCGAACTCTCGATGTGTAGGACTGAGTGGTGAGTAGCGCGCTTTTCCAGCGCCAGCTTCTCGCCTCAGCCAACGTCGTCAAACGGCGACTCGTAAATGCAGGCTCCTGATGCCTGGGGTCCATGCTTTGCAGGCTGCTGTGGGCCTTCTTGAGGGTGTCCAAGGATGCTCCATGGGCCTCTTTGCCGAGCACATCTCAGAATCTTACTTGGACTTACCTTTCTCAATGAAAGGAAGGTTTGCTGCAGGTGAGATGGGGCTTGAAGAGGATGTCCTACATCAAGCATGCCGATACGACAAAAACACCGTCTGACAGAAAAACGGGTCTACAAAATAAGGCGAGCTTGCAGAAGGAGGACTTCCCATGCCGTGCACGCCTCCCTGGCCGCTCGTTCATCAGCAACCCGGCTATGCCTGAGAGGCACTGTGCAACACTTCATTACCTTGTCAAAGCAAGGGTCTCCAAGACGGTACACTGACGAGCCTCTGCTACAAGATGCTACAACGTGTCTGACCTCTTTACCCGAGCACGCAAAGCCAACGGCGCATGTTGTGTGGCTTCTCTGGGAGTCCAGCACGGCATCCACCTTTGCTGCCATATCCTGTTATTGCATAGCTCAGGGAGCACTGGCATTTGCGCTCGGAACATCTTCTACAGAAGAGAGTGCCATTCTGAAGCCCCATGTCACTGTTCCTTCGCATGCTTCTCGAAGGAGTCCCCCATGGCCTCGCGAACTCGATAACGCCAAATGTCTACGTGTTATTCCACATCGATCAAGCCCTACAGAACGTGACGAAACACAGTCCTGAACAAGAAGCCAACGCTTGCAGGGCTGCCAAAGAACTGAGGGAAAGCAAAAAAAGGCCAAGGGGTCACACGAGCTGGCGGCCTTCTCCAGGAAGTCCAGGCGCTGCGCCAGCGTGGCGTGATGCTCTGCGAGCTTTTCCTCAAGCTGGGCCTGCGGACTGCATTGCTGCATTGCTGTAAGGAATGCAAGGAAGCCTACTATGGAAGACCCTGCCTTGCTACCGCTGTGGTCCTTCTTGAGCGTATCTCCATGAGCCTGACTTGAGCTGGCTTCTACTCGAGAATTACTGGCTTTAGGCAGGTGCTGCGGTCAGAGGCCACCTCGCCTCGCATCCAGAGACACGCAGATGCATATCGTCCAGCTTCGACTTTGCATCTGCTAGTTCCTGAAAGGCGCAGGTGACAGCTGTGAATTGCGAGCTCATTCCTACTCGGAGGTCCTGCGCATGCTTGCTGACGGAGTCCCCGAGCATCTGCTCAATGTACTTCAGTCTCTCTGAAAGCCTGGAAGACACAACGAAGCAAGCTGTGGGAGATCACAAGTCTCCCGTCTCTTCGTGCTTCACTTCCACTGCACTTTGCTGACTGCAGAGGGAAAAGGGCGCTTTTCGCATGCACTTTGCTGCTTCGGCCGGGCCACGAGGCATGGCTCGACTTCGCGTCGCTGGTCATTGCATGGAGCTCAGCCAAAGCCTGACTAAGTACCATCATGAGGCCGCAGAGAAGGCTCGAGCGTCAGCACAGCTAACCTTTGACATCCCCTGACCTTGCGAGTGGGCCGTCATGTGCAAAATGCTGCAACTGACTCGAAAACAAGGTAGGGAAACCTGTATCGAGAAGCCTGGAGCGCACCGGCGCCTTGCCATGCTTGTCCGCACGATCACCTACCTTCGCTGCAGTCGCTGCCAGTTCCTGTGCAGTAGCACAGCATATGCCAGATTGTGCCAGCCCTCTTGAAGCCACTTGCCAGAGACTGCTGGGAGCAAGGAGCTTCTACTCCAGGGTGCATTCATCACCTCCCCGCAAAAAATAAATGAAAGCTGTGCACAGCTTTGATGACAAGTGTTACTGCAACATGCTGAGCAAAGTGAGTGAAGGCGGCTTAGTGAAGCCCAGCAAGAGGATGGAAGGTCGGAAGATGCCAAGCCCAGCAGCCGCATGTACACTTGCTGAATTGCCGAATGATGCCTGACGTCACTCTGTATTCGCTTCATAACCAACAATTTCATCAGACAGGATGTGAGGAATTTGACTTTGTGGACCTCGCGACGATCTCTGACCAGAATGCTTGCTTTCTCTTCTGCACAACTCTGAACGGCGAGAAGCACGACTGAAACCCTGCGGGCAGATAAGAAGCTCGACATGCAGGAACATAAAGCTCCTGCGCGTGCTTCTCCAAGGAGTCGCCCATGCTTTGCTCGAGGTATGCCATGCGATCCGTGAATGACATGTGCCCGGCCTTGCGCAAAGGACTACGGCATCCAGCTGACCCCAAACCAGTCGAGACGATTCCCTACGCAGTAGAAGAAAACCCAGCCTTCGCGTGCCGGTCTGCTGAGCCACCCATAAGCTTCTCAAGATAATCCACGCGGTCCTGAGCAAAAGCTGGGAGCATGTTGGAGGTTACATGTACTCGATGCATCTATGATTCAAATAACAGGATGCCGCTCAACAAGCGGATATTTACATCGTCTAGAATTATAGCGCTGGCCCTCCAAGCTTGGGTATGAAGAAGCTACAGGCGCACCTGCACGGAAGAGTGCTGCTCACCTCCGTGACCACACACTGTGGGACTTGCTCATGCGAATATGTAGGGCCGAGCCTTGCCGTGACAGCTTGGAGTGCAGGTCCTGATGCGTCGCGTGTAGACTATCAGGTGCAGAGCAAGCCCAGACTACTGAGATGTCCTGGATCGTCTGGTCGCGTGTGGCCTGAGTCGTCAACGGCCCACGAATGCACACCAATGGCTGCAAGAAACCTGCCTTTTCATCCTCGAGATGTTGGCGGAGAGCATGATGGTTACCCTGCCCAAAAGAATCATTGCCATGCAAGCTTGCTAGCTAATGCACATTGGCTGGGTACTCAGAAGCTCCGAGATTTCTGACCCGGCCTCCAGTTCCTGGAGCAGAGGCTTCCACAGTCCAGCTTTGCAACATTTGAAGGAAAAAAGCTAGTTTTCTGGAGAGCGCAAGGTCACATTTCTCCGGGTCAAACTCTGTCACATGCAATGCTCAGCGAACCTGATGTCTCCCGGTGTGCGATGCAAAGCCTCAGCACAAAATCAATGTGCCCCCCCTACATGCATAGCCCAACAGTCATTTGGATGGCCCCGACTTCAAAAGAAATTCTTGCTGGGTCAGGCCGCACAAGAGCACACATGCTCAGGCAAAGGCTGCCATCGAGCTCTGCTGTCTTTTGTTCCAGCTTGGCCAGCTTCTGCAGGAAAAAGCAGCTGCAGTGCAAGCGACCCCTGCACTGCCCTCGTTCAGAGTTGCCTCGACGTGCTTCAAGTGAGATGCCTGGATCTCCTCAGAACATACAGGACACGTATCCGGATGGGAATCTGTCAGCTCCGTTGGAGGTGGGCATGTCCGTGGATCCCCTCAGGTCCTCGATGTGAGGATGCCAAGCAGTCTCCAAGACGCGGAGCTGTCAGGTTTGAGAGGCATGGCCAGCTCAGGTGCGATGCTGCTGAAGCGCCCCAAACTGGACATGACATTATCTGGATGACACATTGTCCCAAACACTCGCCCCACCAGTAATAAGTAATCATGGCGTCTCGGTGCCTGCTCCTTCATGGCTGCAATCTGCTCATGCAGCATCGGCACGTCCTGCTCCAGCTCCTGAACCTTTCAAGCAATGTACGGCAGCATTGCTTGGCGCTATCTGGTTGCGAAGCACAAATGTTGGGGGTCATGGCATCATAGGCGAGCGCTTGCTTCACAATGATTTCCAGATAGAGGCCACAGAATGTTGTAGCAAATGCTTGTGTTCAGTGCATCCTCCTTGTGAATCTGCAAAATCCAAGTCCGGAAGTTCCATGTCAACACACAAAAGGCAAAGCTCACATTTCATTTTCAAAGAAACCAGCTTAACTCCCCTGACGTCTGAATCGGAATGAACAGCAGCACTACCCTGGGGCTTCAGACTTCTGTGTGTGGCCCTGGTTGTACTGCGTGGTTTGACTGACATCCGCATTGAATACTAAGCTACAGCAATATACCGCACCTTCTGGACGTGCTGGTGGAAGGACGTGTCTCTGTAGCGCATCTCGCGCTCTATTTGGTTCTGGCCAGGATCAACTAGGCAGACAGTAGGAAGTAAAACTGAATCGGGGCAAATCGGTCCTTGGTTTCCAGCTGCTTGCCTTCCAGGCTGCTCACCTGCAACTGGGTCTGCATCCTGACTGTAAGCAGCCCCTCGTTGAAATTCCAAGGTCTGGGCTGCAGCTCCTTGGCTTAGACCTGAGAGCTGTGTGATGCTGGGTGGAGCAACCTTACAAGCTTCTTGAAGGTCTCCCCCCAGTGCTGGCAAGCAGCGCTGGGACTCTTGATCAGACTTCAGGGTCATCACCTGACCACACGACTCTTGCTGAGGCTCTCCGCAGGACCATCATGAGCAGATGAGCTCAGCATGAGCAGCATGGTCTATGCCTCAGCCCTCAAAGCATTCAGGTCCTTGATGCAGTTGGCAGTCTGCTCTCGAACCAGCCTGGCGGACATCGCACATGTGACTTGTGGATTCGCGCGGCCCCCTGCTTCCTTGCTTCCTGGCCTCAGCTGGATCTGGAACACATCTGCTTCCTAAATATGGAAAGGAAAGCTGCCCATAGCCAGGAGGCTGTAATTAGTGGGATAGTTCCTGCACAGCTCATAAATTCAACCCCTCCTGCGCCGTTGGCGACATGGGAGTGTCCATGCCGGACCTGTCTGCAAGGGTACAGTACAGCAGAAGGGGGCAGGGCTGGGAGGGCTTGTTGTGATGCTTTGTAGGATTTTGTACGATGTGGCATCTGGACTCCCAACTCAGTCCGCTTCTGCGCCTGCCCGCCGGGGGCGCTGCACAAACGGAAGCCAATGGCTAGGAGTTTGGGCAGCGGAAGGAATTTCTGAGCCCAAAAATCAATGACAATTTGACAGTAAGGCGTTTGTTCTTCTGCATGGGTGGCAGGAGGCTGCAAGTAGAAGCAGCGTCATGGAGTCGCGCGGTAGACACCATGCAAAGCTGGATTCCTTGAGACACCCTTTCTATCATCTGCGTCTCATCTACCTGGAGCCTCCACGTCTGGCTCTAAATCCTCAACCCTCAAAACTAGGTCTGGGAATCAGTGCATCGTTTTTAGATGCAAGTTTGAGGGTGCAGGGGGTTTAGACTTTTGGGGCGAGCCGAGGCGCCAGGAGCCAGAGAAGCAAGAATACCAGGGTTTTTGTTAGTCAACGTATGCTTTCTGTTGCTTTGCACAATTGGCTTCGAAAGTCTATGCCTTGAGCTTGAAAACCCAAGCCTGCTCAGTTTCTTCTTCCAACCCCTGCGTCACCCTGAACCCTGAACAGCCGGAAGCCCTAAACCCAGTTTCAAACCCCACCAACATGTTGGAATAAACCGCACCGCAAGCAACGGCAAAACAGAAGCAAAGCAAAGCAATACCAGCAAAATTCAGCAACCCCACCAACATTTTGGAATAGACTCCACCCCAAGCGACGAACAACAGCAACACCAAAACAGAAGCAAAACAAATCAATACCAAAAACAAAGCAACACCAGCAACATTCAGCTTTAGAATGAGAAACCCTTAAGGCGGAGAAAGTAATGAGAAGAATTTCGTCATGAAGCAATCACCTGACTGGCTGGCAGTAAACCAGGCTCGTCAGATTCCCAAACAGCTACGAACGTCTTTCGCAGCAGCTGCATGCTTGCACGTAGCCCGGGCGGCGTGCGTGACGGAAGCAAGCGCAAGCCGCCAAGCTGTGAGGCCAAGGCTCGTCATGCAACACCCGTCCATCTGTCAGCCGTTGAACGCAAGCATGAAGACATATGAAGATGTGCCAGGACAGAACAGTGTGACAAAGTAACTCTCACCTGCACACCTCGCAGTGGTGAGGACCCCAAGCGTCCATCAAGAAGCCTTGTGCAGCTTGAGGCCAGTTTGGTCCCCAGGGCTGGACCCGCATCAGAGAATCAAGATTTGCAGGACATCCAGCATATGATCTTGAGATCCGAGGAGAAGAACTGGACGAAGACCATGGGTCATCAAGGGACATTCCTCCCACTTCAAGAGCCACGCAGCAAGGGATCCTGAGCTCTTACGAAAAACCAAAGCTCCAAATTGCTTCCGGCTGCTTGGGCATCGGCTTCTTG